ATGTTTGAATTATAAGAATTATTTTAAATTTAAAAAAATTAAGATTCAGGTAAAGAATTATTTTTTATTTATAATTATTTTTTAAAAATAATTTTATTTAAGTATAAAAAATTTCTATTAATGATAATTTTTTATATAATTTATATTGTATCAATTTAATAATTAAATTTAATATTTAAATTTAAAATTTATTAATATTAATAACTAATAAAAATTATATTTTATATAAAATTAATATTTATTCATTAGACTTAACAAAAAAAAAGAAAAGCATTGAGGAATATATTTGAACTTGATATATGTATCTTCATTTATAAAACGTGATGTTGCAACTAGAATTTTTATTATTTTTTTTATAAAGACAATAATTAAAAATTAATATATTAGAGATGTTAATAAAAGATATTGAATTTAAAACTTAAAAATACAAATTACAAATTACCTTTTAAAATAGTAAGTAATCATTAAGTTACACAGAATGCAACTAGAATTTTTATTATTCTAGCTATACATGTGTTATGTACCTCGGTTGTTGTTTCTTGACATTACCAAATCCCGATGCTGTTTGGGCTATAGTGGTAAGGAGTGTCAATTTCCATGGTGGTAATCTTACAGAAAGCAATTAAGACTGCCAAAAAGGAAAGCACCGGTAAGGTCTGAGCGGGTTAATTTGTGGTTAAATAATAATAATATATCATAATTTTTTCAGTGGATATGGTATTTTTTTAAAATAAATAATTATGATTTTTTTTAATTAAAGTAAGTAATTCGAGAGAAAGGGCTAAGGAGAGGAATCTAACCCTCATCATAATAAAAAAAATTTATATTAAACTGTTAGGCCATAAGATCAATAAGTCTTCTTCAATGGTTTTGATTCTTATACTAGACACACTGTTATAGAAACAAAGAAATGCTTGAAAATGACTTTTTCTTTTATTGGTCACCAAAATTTGTTGTGTCGTAAAACAGTAATCTTTGATATCTAATACTATGAATTTATCTAGGTTTTCATTATTAACAATATATTAACATCATGAAAAAGGCCAAACTATGCAATTAGATTTTGTCATAGGTATTTAAATTATTAACAAAATATCTGGGACTTGAGGAAGGGTTGCCCAAAATTAGTACCTAGCTTTTGTCAATTTCCTTTTGAGAAAATTACTGTTAAAATGGCTTAAAAAAGGAATGTGGATAAAATAACTTTTGTTTTCATTCATATCCTTGACAAAGTCACCATGATAATTGGAAAGTCCGTGATGCAAATTACTCAGTATCTGCCTTTAACAAAGCTGCCAAACCTCCTTTCATGATTAACCATTGAAATGACGTAGGAAATTTGCTTTGATTCATATCCATAATAGTGACTGCTTTGAAAGGACCTGAATTATGAATCTGAAGCACATTGTCACGGCAGGCGAGCTCGGGAACTGAAGTGAAGGGCATCATTGCATGGAGCTGCAGTTACAGGCACACAAAAGGTGTGTCCAGCATCCAGGGGCATGCCATGCAACGTCGTGGAGTGCGAGCGCGGAGATGAGGGAAGGCGCGAGCATGGGCAGGACCGCCAGTGGAAGCGTGATCGGAAGCGTGGACGCAAGCATGTGGGATGCGGGTGTCGGTGTCACGACACAGGGTTGCGATTACGACAGTACGCTCGAGACGTAGCGAGCCTTACCAGCGAAAGCGTCAATACCAGGGCCGTGGCGTGAAGTTGCAGACAGGACGTGTGAGAGCGTGTGTGAGCAGTCGGGGGCGACGAGCGGGTGCACGCAAGAGTGTCTTGGCCCAAGACACTGGCGCATGCACGAGCCAGTTGGGTCGAGGTGCTGGCACGCATGGGTGCGGTATGGCTCGAGGCACTGGGGCGCGCGAGTGCGAGCATGGGCACGAGCACGACATGGAACGCCCCAGAGGCGGGCCTTGCATGACTTGGCAGCGTCCATGCCAAGGCCGTGGCACGGGATCGCAGTCAAGACACGGGTGCGCGAGCACGGATGGGAGTGGCCCAGAAAATTCTAAAAGCTACATGATGCACAATGATGGTGCCAGACAGGGGTTTGGATGGGCTTAATGGGCCAAGTCCAACTTGGGATCTTCCTAAGGCCTTGTACATAATTCTAGAATAGGAGGTTCTAGAATAATGTAGGCTTAGGCTAGGAGGGAGAGTGGAGAAGCTTCTGGAAATTGTAAATATGAGGGAAATTTATTTAGTATTCTAGAGACCTCATCTGCAGAGGGACTTGGGACAGACCTCTTCTATAAATAGGGAGGCCTAATAGAAGAGGGGCAGACCAAGAAACCAGATAGAGAGTAAGCTGCTAGGTGAGTGAGTGTAAAAAGGGGCTTTGTACTCATGCTCTTTTACACTCCCTTGCGATCATAATAAATTCTCTTCTTCTCCCAACTTCCTACCTTCGTTTACGTGTTGCTAACCTCGAGTCCAGTACGAGGGCCACGCCAAGTGTTGGGGAAGGCTGACTTGGTTCGTGTTTACGAGGTTAATTCCGAGCTAAGTACCGCACGAGATCGAGATAGATTCCGCCTCCAAAACAAGTGCCATCGGAGCTGGTCTCACCCCTGACAACATGGTCCAAAGTCAGACCCACTAGCGCCTGCCAAAGTTACATTCATTGTTTCCACCTGGCCTTTCTGTACGTATTGATCCATAAAACACTACTTTCTATCTCCACAATTATTGAATTTTTTTTATAAACTTGAAATAATTTTAAAAATTAATTTTTAAAAACAATTTTTAAATAAAATATATTTAAATTTTTTCCTATTTAGTTAAAAATATATTTAAAAGTTAATTTGAAATTTTTAATAGCATTTTTAAATTTTTGAAAAAAGATATATTTTTAAAATAAATTCTTTTAAAGAATGTAATTA